CTGACCACCAGGGGGCAGATGCTCTGACTAGAAGGTTAGCTTGCTGCTGGGGTCCAGCTGATTGGGACTGAGCAAGACAGGCCAGACATGTCCTGGAGCCCTCCTGCGGTCCCTCCTTGGCTGGCCAACCTCCCATATCCTTCCCCGGCCCTGATAATTCACCAATGGGAGTCCCCTCAGCCTGGCCTGTGCCCTCTCACAATCCAGGCTGATGGGACACCTCCCCCATTCCCCCCGTGGAGTGCAAAAATTTTGTGCACCAGGCCTCCAGTTTCAAAATAAGGGTACATTCACAGATATTGGGGGTTAGTACTTCAACATCTTTGTGGCGGGACACAATTCAATTCATAACACTAGGTAAGGTACTTCTCTTTTTTGATGAACTGTTACATTCCAGGTTTATTGGAAACATAGACTTTCTAGCCCTGGAATATTGGCTAGTCCGGAGGTTTTCAAATAGTGTTCCAAGGAGCTCTAACTCTCCAACGAAGTATCTCAGGAGGACTCAGGGACTGAATAGGGCTCCTATCTGTTCCAATGACAATTACCATGTACTAGTAACAAACCATCCCAAAACTTAGTAAGGTAAAACTCCTTCATTATACTCTCAGCATCTTTGGGTAAGGAACTTAGGACACCACAAAGACAGCTTATCATCTCTGCTGCACAATGTCTGGGAACCTCAGTCAGGAAGACTCAATGGCTGGGAGCTCAAATAATCTGCAGGCATCTTTACTCCTACGTCTGGCACTTGTTCCTGGCTGTCGGCTGGATCCTCAGCTGGACATCGGCTTTCTGACAGCAGGGTGGTTTCCAGAGTCAGAGATTTTTACATGATAATTTACAGTTTTAAAGCAACTATTCCTACAGACAGAGAGGATGCTGCATCACCTTTTGACCTGGCCTTGAAAGTCACGTACATCATACTCTATTTGTTGAAGCAATCATAAAGCTTACACAGTTCAGGGCTGCAGGAGAGGGGACACAGACCTCACCTTTTAATAGGAGGAGGGCCAATGCTACATTGTAAGAAGAACATGTGGAAAAGAAAATATTGTTGCGGTCATCTGTGGAAAGTACAATCTGCCACACTACCCACACTAACCTCTTCAACCACTGGGCAGCATCTCTCCCTGACTCTTTAATATTTACTAGCAATTGTAGGTAAGAAATACAGGATCCCTGTGGATTCTCAGAGGAAAGGTGGAGGTGGGTGGCTGGAGATCAACCAAAGAACTTGTATGAGTATATGCATAACCCATGGACACAGACAATAGTGTGGTGAAGGCCTGGGGCGGGGGCCAGGGATGGGCTAGAAGAGGCTAATTGGGGGAGGAAGGGGACATATGTAATATTTTCAACAATAAAGATTTAATTTTTTAAAAAAGATATACCAGGCCCTTACCGGTTTGGTTCAGTGGATAGAGCATCGGCCTGTGGACTGAAGGGTCCCAGGTTCCATTCCAGTCAAGGGCATGTACCTTGGTTGCGGGCACATCCCCAGTGGGGAGTGTGCAGGAGGCAGCTGATCGACGTTTCTCTCTCATCGATGTTTCTAACTCTCTATCCCTCTCCCTTCCTCTCTGTAAAAAATCAATAAAATATATTTAAAAATAAAAAGATATACCGGATCCATGGAGGCCAAGTAACACATAAATTCCACATAATCTGTTAGCCTATCCAGTGATTATGTAGAAAACCAGAAAATTGAAAAAGCTAGTAGTTTTCTTCACCTAGTTTTTAAAATTTGTTTGCTTCTAATTTCCTTGGACATGCTGGGAGAGTTTTGTAGAACTTCTATTATGAAATAACTGGAAGAAAGCCATCATTTTGTTTTACTGAATTGCATTTGCAACATCATCAACTTTTTGACAGGGTTCAAACTAGTGCTTTCACAAATTTTATTTGCCTATCATATGCTTCTCCCAGTGTCGGCCAAAACTTCCTGAGTTGCTCAGAGACGCATGTGGACACACGCCTACACACAGCTTGGTCTGTGACTCACATCCTATATAGTAAAGTAAAGAGCTAATGTGCTACTTAGACCGAACAGCAGAACGACCGTCCGGACAACCTTCTAGAAGAAGCCGGGGTTGTGAGGGCCAGAGCCCCTTGCATGAATTTCGTGCATCAGGCCTCTAAACTAATAAGAGGAAAGGTCTCATCCTGTCTGTGGTGGAAAGTGAAGAGACCTGGCGGGGGGCGGTGGAGGGGGGCCCTTAGCCAGGTCCCTTGGCTTCTATTCTAATGCAGGCTCAGGGTCTGCCTAGGCCCCAGCTCCCTGTGCCCTCCCCAGCCTCACCACCCCTCCCCGGCTGGAGGAGAGACAGCAAGAGCAGGTCTCAGAAGCCTCCCACCCCTGGCTTTGCAGCAGCCTCTCTGGTAGGTTCCAACCTTCTAGTTCAGGAGGAACATTGTGGGGTTGGGAAAAGTTTTCTAGGAAACAATTACTCACAAACAAAGGGACCAGAAAAATTTAAATGAATGACTCGCAGCTGGGCAGCCTGCCCTTGGGCGGCTCATGTGAACTGAATCTGTGTAATGCTGCGTTAGGATCCGTGTACTCCCTCCAGCCTCATAAATCTTCAAACCCATTTATTGAGGGCTCCCCCCCTCGGGTTCACTCTTATAAAATCCACCCACATATTAAGCTCATTCGGAAAGAATAAGGATTGAATAGCAGGTCTTCCATCATCAGATTTTACCGTAGATGTCAGCTGGAGTCTGGGTGTCTCTTATGATTTAAATGGCATTGGCCACAGCCCCATTCATGCCCTTTGGAAGTCCAGTATCCTCCCCAAGCTTTCCTGATTACTGGTGTGTTCGTGATTTCAGGCTGCAGGCTGTTGGTTCTGAGACTCTGTTTCTACGAAACGTCTTCCACTCATCACCTCACCATTTCACATGTTCAGTCCCTGTCTATAGCTGAAAGATGAGTCCACCCTGTTCCTTGGTTTCCCCCAACACTCACACAGGCTTTTGTGCCTGTTAGAGACTTTAAGGAAGGTTTGGGGAGACAGCCGAGCATTCACGATTGCCATGCAGGCCTTTTAAAGGCCCCATATGGTACAAGCCCTTCAGCCCAGGAGTTACTCAGCCACCCCCTCTTGCCTCTCCCAGCCCTGTTCCAGAACCTCCGTCTCAAATTCCTCACCCCCAGTGCAGGGCAGCTTATCAAAGTTTTTCTCAACACACTTCCATCCCTAAGAGGAATTTTGGCATCTGCTGCTGCTTTATCAGCCTATTTGTTGCAAGTTCTCGCTCTGAGCTGCATTTCTCTGCCTGTTCCTCCTGTCTTCTCCCAAATTCCCCACCTTTCCCCTCTGCAAATGCCAAATCTGCACATGTCATCCTCAGCCCTCTGTCCTCCTTGTCCCTCCCCTGCCCGTAGTGACCTCGTTTATTTTCAGAGCTATGTCTGCAGCCTTTCTATAGTAACTCCCAGCTCTCTACCTCTAATTACACTCCTCTACCTCTCACCACCAGCTGTCTTCTGTCCAGTCCCACTTTTCTGTCATCTCAAGCTTAATGTGCTGAGAGGAAACTTCTTCTAAGCATAACTACTATAAAGGCAACAGCCTCCTAGCCTACATGGTCTCCCCACAGCCTCTCGTCCCTCTGCCCTCGCTCCTGCCTCGTTCCATTGCTCGGCCAGTTCTCCAGTGAGTAACTCGTGTAGCTCAGATTTTACTGCGACTCTGCTCAGAACCCTCCCCTGTCTTCATTTTTTTTTTTTTTCATAGAAACGTAGGTTTATTTCTTTTTTTTATTGCTTAAAATATTTGGGCCTCAGCCTGCCTTTCAAGACCCACCACAACCCAGGCCTGACCTGAGTGTCCTGTCCAGGCCTGGAATCCAGAGCGAATTCCAATCCTCACTTTCCATGCACCTGATGTACGACCTTGGGACGCTTAATGTAAACTCTCTGGCCTCTGCTTATGTTAAAGACATCCGGATTTTGGCAACTTCCCAGGAAGTACTAAAGGGTTAAGTATTCTAATGCGGGCACCACCCCAATTCTGTCCTCCCTAAACTGTAACTATCTTTTTTATCAGCAGTCCTGGTTCTAATCAAGGTAAAGATTACCTGCATCCTAGCCACAGCCATAGCTATTTGCAAGGTCTGGGGGATGTAACCTTTGGGTTGACAGCAGAAAGTAAAATAAAGTGACAGTGTAATACTATATACAGTTAGCCAAGTAGATGCTTAGATATGTTGGGAAGCCATTAGTGGGGGCCGTGAGGAGAAGGGGGTGGAGTTAAGGAAGGATGGCTTGTTCCCTTTCCTTCAAACTTCAAATGCTGCCTGGTAACTGGAGATACAGGCATCAAGGGCCAGTGCCCAAACTCTGGCTGCCTGAGAGCATCTGAATTCCAACCAGAGTATATATCCCGGCTCTGCCACTGTCTAGGTGTGTGCTGGGTAAGGAATCACTTAGCTCCTTCAGTCATGGTCTCCCTGTCTATAAAATGTCTGGGAAGACCCATCAAAAGGCTGTTGTGAGGGGCAGTGGTGTGATGTATATGACATGCCTAGCTCAGTGCTTGCACTCAAGAAATTTACCAGTGAGAGAGAAACATCGATGGGCTGCCTCCTGCATGATCCCCGACCAGGCCCGGGGCCGGGGAGGAGCCTACAACCGAGGGACGTGTCCTTGACCGCAATCGAACCCGGGACCCTTCGGTCCAAAGGCCAACCACCGAGCCACACCAGCTGGGTTGGAAGGATAGACTTTTAAAGCTTTTGAGTTTCTGTCGCTGACTGGGTCACCCCCCTGCAGCGCCTCCTCTCCGGCCCCCACCCGACCCCCACAGGCTGCACGCACGGTTCTACGAGCTGGCCCCCAACCTGGTCCCCCTGGACTACCGGAAGAGCCCCATCGTCCACGTGCCCATGAGCCTGATCATCCAGATGCCCGAGCTCGGGAGAACCCCTTCAAGGAGCGGGTCGTGGAGGTCTTCTCAGAGGACGGCGAGGGCAACCTCACCTTCGACGACTTCGGGGACATGTTCTCCGTGCTCTGCGAGTCGGCGCCGCGCGACCTCAAGGCCAACTACGCCTTCAAGATCTACGACTTCAACACGGACAACTTCATCTGCAAGGAGGACCTGGAGATGACGCTGGCCCGGCTGACCAAGTCGGAGCTGGAGGAGGACGAGGTGGTGCTGGAGTGCGACAAGGTCATCGAGGAGGCCGACCTGGACAGCGACGGCAAGCTGGGCCTGTCTCACTTCGAGGACATGATC